GTTAGATTGTAAACAAACACACGTGGCATGGCAGCCGTTTGAAATGTCATTGACCAATTCAAACGGGGAAATATTCCGCCAGAATTAAGGAGCGAGCTTTTCCATGATTTCTTGGATTCTCAGGACTATCCCGCACGGCCAATGAGATCAACTTAAAATATATTGACTAAACTGAACAAATTTTCTTAGAATCATAATTTTGTCATCCCTGCTAAACTCTTCTAAGGTTGGAGCTATCAAACTGGAAAAGGTTAAGAAGCGTATTAAACGAGGATCAAATCTGTTTAGTAAATGTCTAATAAAATAGTTCCATGACTGATTGACCGAAAAACGTTTACAAAATATATGCTCAAGATCTTCGAGGAATCCGCATGATAAGCAATTAGGGTTGTCAGCAATACCTATGCGATACAAATGAGCTCTGTGATCAATTTTCCTATTATAAAGTAAATTAGGAATAGATTTTTCATTTGAGTTCAGGTTCTTTAAGTTAATATTATTCCAGACACGTGGCCAATTGTTTTGTTCTTTAGTTTCAATAGTTGGTCTAGGCAATGATCCAATTTTATCAGAATATAGTTTTGTCATAGAAAAAGGTTGTGTTAGATCATGTTCGTAAAACAAATTCATGAAAGAAGGATACATATGTGGTAATATAGTAACAGGTTTCCTAATGACTACTGACTACTGATATTAGGCAGAATATAATTTTTCAACAAACACGTGTCGGTCGAATTAGGATTTATCCCAGGCTACTATTGTAGAAAAACGTAATTGATAGATATTGGGAAAAATAGGGCGCACGCTTGATCCGGTTTAAGATACATTGTTCACTGTTTTCGGGAACGTGATTTCATTTTAATAACTTGTTTACTTGTTTAACCATTGAACGTCGCGTGAAAGTGGAACTTAATGAAGGCATCAGTGCTTTTTCGTAACTTTTAGTTTTCGGATTAGAAAAATCATCGGTTGCAGGACAGTGTTACCGATTTATATTGGATAATCCAAAGCTATGTTGATCATTATAACATTAAATTTTGTATAACAAATGATAAGACAATCTTATTCAAATGTCGTAATAATACCTCTGACCAAGGAAAAATGATTTATATAGTTTTCATAAAAGTTGACGATACAAATACTAATGAGGAAAGGAATTCCGCATTTCCTTTTCCCAAGTCCTTTTCCTCTCCTTCCCTTCCCTTCTTCTCTTTTCAGAAAGCGAGTAATGGCGCTATAACCATATGCCATATAGGGCTAGGACAAGAGTTAGTGCTCAGGTCCCAACCGCTAGAAGAAAATGGTAGCGAGCAAGGGCGCTATAACCTAGGCGAATACAGCATTCCCTCCGTATAGGTTACGTCCGCACACCGCTCTCTGTTGTCCTTCGACTGAGGTCGGCTGGATCGATTGAGGGATGGCAGTGGGTTGGCGGTGCCGTCCACGCTTGTACGGAGGGAGGACTGTACGCTCGAACACAAGGGGTAAATACCTGTGTTCCATCCCAGGAGATCGGACAACCAAGGAGTGTACATTAACTTTCTTAGCTCTGTCACTCCCAACGATTTATATAGCCTATTTTCAAATCCTGCATACGGAGCGGTTGGTACGGTATGTCCCCGCTCTTTGATTACCTGTGGATTAAATGTTAACCACTGTCTATACTTATTAAGTAGACATGGTAAACATTCACTTCCACAAAAATTAACTAAACGCTACACAGTAGGCCTGGCCGCTTTATTGTTTGTTTCACATCCTTGATGTGCAGCAGGCATTAATAATGACAAGAAAAATGATAGATGTATCATTTTCCAGGATTCTTTCAAGTACTGGCTGTGTATGTGTAGACTATGGTCATACCACCAATGATATCGTTAGTGTATGGTACGATACGTTTATTAGGGATGTCCCTTCCAGGTATAAATTTGTTTTTGCTGATAGGTTGGCTCGGAAACTAATGATTTGGCAAGGAATCTGCAGTTGTGGCCTTAAAACCAAGGTTTTCATCACATCTCACACAATGACGTCGAAGGTTTACATTAAAGAGTGTCTGAAAAAGCGGATTTTACCCTTCATTCGGCAACACAAGACCAAAGTTATCTTTTGGCCGGATCTAGCCAGCTGCCACTACTCTAAGGAGGTACTAGAATGGTATGCTGCAAACAATGTTAATTTCGTCGCCAAAGAGCTTAATCCTCCGAATTACCCTGAGTTCAGACCGATCGAAAAATATTGGGCAATTGACAAACGAAAACTTAGAGGATGCGGTAAAGAAGTGAAAAATGCACAAAAAATGCGTTTAAAGAGGAATATGCTCGCCGGTACAGTGTCACTAGCGACTGTGCAGATCATGATGGCATCGATCACAAGTAAAGTGCGACAGTTTGTTCGAAACGGTGAAATGTAATAACTTGTTATATATCGTTTGAAAGCTGAGAAAATACCATTTTGTTTGACTTTTTAATCAACCGTGTATGTTGTTTAATTCTTGGGTTATAAT